GAGAAGAATGTAATATGACCCATCTGTCAAGTGAGAACGTAGCGTGACACGAACAGATGTTAGCGCGACTTGTAGTTTCGGTATGTTGTCCACACAAGGTGTAGGCGCCTTGACTCTGAATGTCTGCTTAGGGCATTAAGCTTTTCAGGTGAGTCCCCGTTCTCTCCCTCTTCTTATTCTTTATTTCGTAGGTCCCCATGGTTGTATGCCAGCGAAGCATCATTCCAAATGGCTGATGTACTGCTGTTGCTGATGATGATGAGCCCCAGTTAGACATTGAGCCAACAGATAATGGTGTCACGCTAGTTAAAATGCGATCAGTCTGTCAAGCTAAGTGTGGCGCTTACAAGTGTTTCTAAATGGCTTCCACTTAGTTATTCAACATAAGATATCAGTTGACATATCAAAAGTCCCTGGTTCAAGTTGCAGTATCGCAATGTCGCAAGCGGGCATTTGTCCACATTTTTGTATGCACTACCACAAATTGGATGGAGAAACGAAAACCCTCCTGAGCAATACCACTACGAACGTGCATGAGTATGGATTGAATGTAAAAATAACAAATTACATACATGGTTGGCGGCATCCGGTTTCGGATTTGTCTGTCACTGTGACCAGCCACAGGACGCCTGCGCCTACAGAGGGACCATGGATGCTTGCGCTGCATCACCCACAGCTCCAACGACACACCCCATATCCAGTGTAAACCCGAAGGAATAAGACCGCGATGCATGTGGATGGGAGCCACGTTGCATCAATGGAGCCGGCCCACACTCCTTCACAAGCAAACACAAGCACGCTGTATTACTGGATACTGTATTATAGAGCGTAGAAATGAGTTCTGTACAACTCTTACGAAATATGGTGAAAAACGTTATAAAAGTTGTCAACCGTGAATATCGTTGTCGTTCTCATGTAACATTTAAAATCTCTGACTCACGATATTTCAGGACTCTAAATGTGATATGTCATCGTAAGTGTGCAATCGTTCTCTGAATCGAATAGTGGTAAAATATAAATCTAACAACATTTTGTACTGCTGCACAGATGTTGCCCCCATCACATGTTCAGGCCAGCTGTTCCAAATATTTACCACTCTCCTTTCGAAGCACAGTTGGTGGGGAACACATTTCAAATCCGGCACGTCAAGTTTGTATCTGTGTCCGCGTGTGCTGTATGGCCCTCGTAAGTGCAGCATTGGCCTTAGCATTGGGAAGTCACCGAGATGTAGAATACGGTAGGTCATAATGAGGTCGACCCGCATCCGACGGTAGGATAAGGTGTAGAGTCCTAGTTTCTCGCACCGATCTTCATACCCAAGCCACGTAAACTCGGGATGAGCCTGGTAGCAACGTGTTGGACCCGTTCGATGTTTTGTGCCTCGCCTCGGGTAATCGGAAAGTAGGCGGGCGCACCGTACTCTAGCATTGGTCTAATGATGGAAGAGAAGAGGCGAGTGGCAACCTCTTCAGACCATGTGTCGAAGCTACTTTTGAGCGCCCAAAGCATGCGCAGTCCGTTACGATATAGCCTGTTCGTGTTATCCACGGCCTTCAAATCGTAGCGTGAGAGTACACCTAGGTCCTTCACGTAGGGTGTGGGATATAGCGGTTGGCCGTCAAGGGTGTACGTTCGGCCATCAGCACCCTTCCCCAGGCTCATAAATACAGACTTGGCTGGATTTACCGGGAGAACTTCTGCAGACCATGTGGATAGGCGGTTGAGGTCTTGCTGAAGTAGGCCACAGTCATCGGGAGCGTCAATTTCTCTCCAAATCTTCATGTCGTCCGCAATTAAGGCACACAGCGACGGCAGAAGCTGAGGTAGATCGTTGATGTGGATCAGGAACAAAGTGGACCCCAGCACAGTGCCTTGAGGCACACCAAGTGTAAAGAGATACCAGTCATTTAGATGGTCGTCGACCTGTACCCTCCATTTTCGTCCAACAAGAAAGTCGCAGATCCACCGGTGCAGTGAGCCACTGACACCACACATTCTGAGTTTGTGAAGGAGAACCTCATGGCTGACCTTGTCGAACGCTTTACTGAAATCGATGAATATCATGTCGACGGACTTCCCCTTGCTTATTGCCTTCAACCACTCATGCCTCGTCACAATTAGGTTCGTAATGCATGAGCTACCTTGCATAAAACCGTGCTGTGCGGGCGTCAGGACCTTGTTTGACTGTAGCAACTGCAGCAATCCCTTCACGATTTTCTCAGCAACCTTTGCCAAATTAGGTGTCAGACAAGTTGGCTTGTAGTTGTCTACTTTGCTAGGGTCGCCGCCTTTCGGAAAAGGCTTCACCACCGAACATTTCCTGTCAACCGGCAACAAGCCTTCTGACAGCGACCTGTTGAAAAGGTCAGTCATGACAGGAGAAAGGATGGTCGAATGTGACTTGAAAACCAGTGGATGAAACCCATCAGGTCCGGCAGGTTTGGTGCCGTCAAGATTGGCGAGTAGTTGACCTACATCTTCAACGCCGCATTGCAGACTATCGAGTTCGGTAAAACCGGTACACGTTGAACTCGGAACAGACACCTGGTTATTCGCAAATACAGAAGCGAAGTGCGCGGCCAACGCGGACGCACGCTCAATGCTGGAGGTTAGGGGCTGTCCATCCGGGCCATCTAGCACTAGCACATCACCTACCGGCTTCAGGCGTCGCTTCATGTATGCAAAGATTCTCTTTGGGGCGTTCTTTGCGGCTACTGCGAGCTGCTCTTCGAATTGTCGGCGCTTATTCATTTTCTCACTGTTGCAGAGGTTCCGCTGACATTTATACCCTTCGTAATCATTGGCAGAGCCAGAGAGGAAGAATTTGTCCCACAGTCTGCGCCGCCTCCGAGCCAGATTTCCATACTCCTTGTCAAACCAATGAGGCTTAATCGGTCCAGTCTTCCGACATTTCAATGGCACAAATTGGGAACACAATGATGTCGATCTCTTTTATAAATATCCAACTGTCTTCCACAGATGCAGCTTGTGACAGAGACCAATCCAGTTGGCTCGCGGCTCGAGCTAGACCATCGAAGTCCGTTTTCCAGTAGTTGGGAGCTGGTTGCAGCGGACGTGAATACGGCAAAGATAATTCCATATCAGCTGTGAGCACTGAATGGTCGCTTGTAGCCAGGGGCCCCAGGATCCTAGCGTCACTCACTCGTTGTTCGTAGCTCGTTAACATCAGGTTGCGACAGGACAGGGTTGAGAGTGTTGTTATGCGTGTTGGCTGGCATATGTGTTGCGATGCACCAGTTTCAAGTACCAAATCCACGAACTTTGTTCAACGTCACTATCTCCAGGCATCAAATGCACATCAGGCCATCGTATTCGAGGACAGTTAAAATCGCCCATAAGTAGAAATTGTGGACGACTCATGTGGGTTCGAAGAATGGGCAGCCAATCCAAACAATGACTCAGGGGGCTGCGATAAACTGCGCCCACAAGCAGTTCTCCGCGCCTGAGGCGGATGGAGCACCACAGTAGCTCACACAGACCATCGTCACTTCGGTAGGTGCTCACAAGTCTCCCAGGCAGGGAACACCGGATGTAAAGTAAGACACCACCGTGGGCATTCTTTAGTCTATCGCATCGGAAGCACGAGTAATCGTTGAGTTCAAGTTCTTGTGTGTATAACTCAGCATGCAGCCATGTTTCTGCGAATCCCACTACGTCTGGCCGCTCAGACGCAACGAAACAACAAAGCTCATCGCGCTTATTCATAATACTGCAAACGTTTGTGAAGGCTACTCGCAGCAGGAGCCGCCGGGCGTGCTTGAAGTGTGAGCAGCCTGTTTATCCTGATTCGCAGATTGCTGGAAACCACCCGAAAATTTACGATACGAAGATTTGTTTCCCCCTCACCAGTGCGTCTTTTCAGCTCAATGATGGCAGACTTGAGCCGCTCCCTGTCTAGTGGGTCCAGGTCTGGACGAACATGGATCTTCAAACCTTTCAGCCTACTTAAACGGGACATGATCAGTCTTGGACTGGCTTCCTTCACAAAGGTGATTCTCATAGGCCGATTTCGTTGATCACCTTGCTTTCCAAGACGGGTAATTTGCCTCACTTTTACCGAGTCCTCACCAGCGTCAAGGAGTCTGTCAATTAGACTCTGTAAAAACTCGACATCGTGATCGTAGCGCACTTGGGGTGATGGGTCACTGGACTCCGGTGCGTGAAAGATCACGAGATCATAACGCCTCTGGTCGGACGAGGTTGACCTTGCACTGCGAAGTATACTACCAGCCTTGTTCGAACACCGGGTGAGTAATGCTAAGGACTGCCAGTTGGTTATTGGCAAGAAGTCTTCTGGTGCCTTTCTCGAGTGTTTGCTAAGTCTTAGTCGCTTGTGATGACCAGGCCATGTCCTCCGTATGCCCGCTGATCGGCTTCCTCGACGCGCATTATGCGCCATGGCCGCGCCAAATTGGATGAAACCGTGAGGTGGCCAGTCCATGACATGGCATAGTAGGTTGAATAAATTAACTTAGAGACTTGGTCAGGCTTGTGCGTACCATCTTTCATGATAGGGACTTCGGAACGATCCACATCAATGGTTGGCGAATCTGCCATACATGGCGCAGTCACGAAGGCAGCGGCGTTCCTGCATTCGGCTTCTTTCATCTGATTATTAATTTCCGTTCCGTTCTGGTTGGTCCGACACATTTCATTGTTGCTTCCATTTTCTCTACATTCTATTTACATCTAACCCCACTATCCCACCGGTTTTGCTTATTGTTATTCTTACGATGAGAGTCGTGACAGCTGGATCCACCACACTTCGGTACTCGGATTATAGTTGATTAACTGAACTGTATTGTGCTGTATTAGTTGACACTAGATTACTGGGTTCTAAATACGCACCTACTAATCCTTGATGCTGTATCATCACTCTTGTGAGAGTTTTAGCTGTATTCAAGTACCAGTACACCTTACTCCGTGTTTATGATCAAGTATTCAACGAAGTATCGTCCTCACCATGTTATCTTGCCTAGTTCATTGCTTATGAGAACAGGATCAGAGCCTATTCGACACCGGACAAAATATTCCGTTATTTTGCCACCTTGAAGACTGTGGACGAGGATGGTGAGAACATTTTCATGACTCCGGAAGATTTCGTGCGCGCCATCACTCCCGGGTTGAAGCAACCCCAAGGTTTGGAGTTGGACTCTTTCAAGCGCTTTGACCCAAAGGTGAGCATTTCTCCACACACTTCATTTTTTTACATTTCTATCATCATTATATCAATTGTCTCTGTACTTGCGTTGTAACTCTGTTCGAATTGTTTTAGTCCCGAACTTGTGAATTTCGAGACCACTGTATTAGCATTTTGTGGAGAGTTGATCACAAACGGCTCCATCTATTGACTTTCGCTTTTGTCCCAAGCCGCCTTTCGCACCGTGGTGGTTAAGGCATCGCGCTTTGTGTCATTCAGTTAGCATGTCGTCACTATTCGTCACCCAACCTTTGTTAACAAACAACAGAATACTTTTCACATCATGCATAAATTGCTTTTGTGTAGACAGTTGCAGACAACTCCACTTGCAACTGGGGATTAAGTTTGTACAATAGCATTACCTGTTGTTCAGTTCAGTCCAATCATGATCCAAGGATCGAAGTGCGGTAATCCAGTTACCTCGATTCATGTCGATAAGGAAACGAAATCGAACACAAATAAAATCCAGAAACATATAAACCTTATCGGGATTGAAAATTAACAGCTATATGCAAGCAACCGAATGCAGGAACGCAACTGAGTGCTCCACTGCATTATGTCTGATAGAGTATACAACCACTAGTGTGAACCATCTTGGGGCCCCCATCCACGAAGACAGCATGCACCAGCCCTACCAAGTCGCGCAGTCAATTTCTTCGTGCCTTTACACAACGTTATCGACTCGGCACCTCGCGCTCTCACCTAACTTCGTGCAGCGACATCGTTTAAAGCTTGTCAAGAACATCGGTCAACGGGAATACCGAATACCTAGCCTAAGCAAAGTAAGCAGTTTAAGTTCAACAGACACTCGTATGAGGCAACAGACTTTAGAAATACTCCGCAAACATTGTTGATCAAACATGGCCAAGCGTTTAATGTCCTCACTGTGTACTAGCCAGGTCTTTGCCCTGTACGCTAATGCCGGTCTTTTCCCAGCGTTATGCACCTTACCTTTCACTGACAGGCTGATATCCCACAAATTCAAGGGGCGCTACGTCGTACACACACTCAAGCTTTATCAGTCGGTCACCTGACAAAACTTCCACCGTAGAAGAATCTGAAAAACTAATTCATGGTCATTCCGATCAAAAAGTTGAAGAGGAAAAGGTACGTAGTACAAACCTATCAAATCCCGCTTGCCGTGGTGAACTCAAATGATAGCTTCCCATTTACTTTTACACGGCCTCGGAAGTCACAGTACAGTGATTTAAGAATTGAACGTTGTTTGGCCTGCACAGCAGTGCGACAAGCTGGCACGAACAACAGAATCGAAAGCGGCATTCAAGTCAAGGAAAACCACCATACTTGCTCGTGTATGTGTACATCTGCTCTAATATTTGGCGAATAGCAAAGATGTGGTCGATGCAACCACGGCCAGGGCGGAAGCCAGCCTGATTTTCAGTGATTCTGTCTTCACGGGAACTGCTAACTCGTCGATGAATGACACCCATGAGAAGTTTTGAGGCGATGGAAATAAGGCGAATGTCTAGATGATTTTCGCACAAAGAACACTGGCCCTAATTGAAGATGGGCATGACAGTTGATGGCCGCCAGTCTGAAGGTATTTCTTTAGTGTCCCTAATCGTGTTGAAAGGAGAAGCAAGTCCAGTCAACAAAGAGTCACCGCCATCTTGCAACGAAGATGGGGGAAGGTCGTCGGGTCCAGGAACCTTGTTTTAACACGGCGAGCTCTTGTCGAATCTCCACCAAAGTGGATGTTACATCTACTTCCCACGTCGGCTCAGATGATTCGGCAATCGGCAGTGCTGCACCAGACCTGCTGAACTGCTTTTCAGAAAGTTCCACCCAACGGACCAGTGGACGAGACTGAAAGTGGGTCAACTGTCAATCCTTCTCAGTTGTTATCTCGTTAACTGATGGCTTTCTCGAACGTGTGTTCTGGATGAGCTGAATTAGCACTCGACTATTCCCAATAGTACTGGTTTTCCCCATCTCACGGGCTCTTGCCTCCCGGTCGATCCGAAGACTACTTATCGGTCGTTGTTTCAGATGTTCCCAGATGTATTGTTTGTGTTGCTAGTGTTGAACTAGATTTATTAGCATAGCGCACGTAAGATTTTGATTGTCGCTTGTCAATTATGCAATTAAGTGCATATGTACATCTGTACGCAATTTTTGCAAGTAAACTTTCGTAGGTGTGTACATATGTATTATACACTGTGTAGGAAAGGAAAGGTTGTAGTCGGTGCACAGTTGCAGATATCGATCACCATCGTCTGTTCTGCGTGCATCGACCCAGAAGCGGCTCCCAGGTGTTGTTGAGTGAGTGAAAGGCGGCCCACTTTGGTATTCGTGTCCCCGTAAACATTCACGACGTCCGCATTTTTCGCCATACGGAGAAAGTATAATTGATACCCATTGAACTCCATTCTGTAGGGGTATAAACTGAGGCGATGAAAAGGCACCTTGTCTTCAGACGGTGCTTATTAACCCCGATGGAGGTTAGTTGTCGAACCGCACACATGCAACTGTTCACCGGTATCCAATCGAGTAGATCAAGTTCAGTATGTCTGCTGAGGGCGATACCAACACCGTAAATGCTTTGAGTCATTGAGTCAGTATCGCCAGTGGCGAAGAGTGTAGTCATCGTCGTCAGATTCTGAACCAGTGAGTCGAAGATTCGTCACAATGCTGTTAACTTTTGTGTGTGTTACGGAGACACGGCACACATCAATACGGAGAGAGTGAAGAGTGAGAGTCAGTGATGCCTGTCGACCGATATAACCCAAATTGCGGACATTAACAGAACAAATGTTATATTGGACGCATGTGTCGAAGGCAGCTGCTGCAAGTCAACGGCAATTTCTTGCTCGATATACGGGGAGAAGGATGGTTGGGAGGAGGGCGAAGAACCGGAGGAAGTGGCAGTATTGTCGACGTGATCCAAACGGTTGTAAATTCTTTCCTGCTGCCTATTCCGTGAGAGTTTTGTATTTTGTGCCCTTCCTATACCTTTGGCTGATCAGTCTTACCCGCAACATAAATGTGTTACAGGACTTGGTACTTTATCGCCTGGCCAACATTGTCCCTATAAAAAGCCACGTATGTCTGTCTAACAACAATGTTACCTGGAGTTATGACTTGCCACTAAATGAATTCACTGTCTTGTCTTTTCTTGGAATCTTAACCAATTCACAAACATCTTACACCTGGAAGAGTTCATTTGTTTCCTTTCTACGTTGGTGATTTCTCCGTACCAACGCATGACTTCAGAGTAACAGTGACAAAATCACCTAACATGATAAATTCCACATGAACACGTGTTTGGCGGCATCCGGTTCCGGATTTGCCTGTCACTGCGGCCTTCACGAGGGAAGACACAGGACGTCTGCGCCTACATAGGGACCATGGGTGGCTTGCGCTGCACCACCCACCGTTTCATCCACACACCCCATATCCTGTGTAAACTCGCAGGAATAAGACCGGTAGGCATGTGGATGGGAGCCATGTTTCATCAACGGAGCCGGCCCACACTCCTTCACAGTCAAACGCAAACACGCTGTATTTTGGGTATCAAGCGCATTCGAGGCGGTCGTTTTTCTTAACTCGCTCCACACACAAACCGTGTGCATATCACCATTCTTTGAGTCTTATACGATCACGAGGATCGTGCACTGCGTTTCCTCTTGCAACTGTCAGTTGCATCCTGGAGCCAGTATAGACGAAGTGGTGGGTAATTTACAAGTGGGCACCTTGTCAACATGAACATAAAGCTCAACCACACCGGCGGATGTCAAGCAACGGCCAATCACTTGGATTGACCATATCAAATAAAATGAATCGGATATGGCGACCTAGCTCTTCACTAAATTAGCCTATGAAATATACTTGTTATGAACGTATTCGCACTAAACTCAAGATGGCAGAAAAAGAGATCAAACGTGAACAAAATTAACGAAATTTACCACTTTCGTTTAAGCTGCGTGTGTTAGTAGCTAGAAGGTTATTCAGATAGACATTAAAATGAGGTAACAAACTATGTATTAACAAAATATAGCAATCCGACTACTTCAAACAAAGAAATCAGCACGCGAGTACTCAGTTATTAAGTGGAATGCAACGCCTACCAATGCTGTGCCGGCTCTGCTTATGTTCTCATCAGGCCCCGTCGGCTTTTCGACGCTGGTCCAGAGTGGCCTCGCTCGTGGCTCACTAGGTCTGACTGACTCAGGTACTCGTGACCACATGTGCTACGGCACCGTGCGCTCGACGTCGATATAGTACACACCATCGGCGCCTCTTTCGCACTTGCCACTTCCACGCATGCACGAGGGCTTTCTCTTGCACCTAGGTAACTGTCTTCGTGATTAGATCTCGCCATGCACGTCACTCAACCGCTTTCGTTTCCCAACATCTGAAGTCATCAGTAGAACCTTTATCATGTCCTGGTAACGAAGCTTTGGTTTCCGCACATGCCGTTTCCTCACACTCAGCTGACCATATAACAGCTGCTTCGGTACCCGCGTCGAATCCATACGGCACACATGACCGAGCCATCTTAAGTGTCTCAGCAAGTATGCAGTCCGCTGCATACATTCCACTTCGGCGCAACGCCGTATCTCCACCACCTGATGCGCAGATTCAGTCGCAGACATTATTGATGGAACCGCTCGAGATATCTCACATCTCGCTTACAAGCGAGCGTTTCGCTGCCATATAGAACGGACAGTACTATGGATTTGTAGACCATCAATTTCGTGCCGCCGGTAAGCTGGTGGTTGTTCCACACTTGATACTCAAGCTTTCAGAATGCCACCGCTGCCTTGGTTACACGAATACGCAGCTCACCGTGTACTTACTGGTCACTCGAAAGCGCACTCCCAAGGTAGCAGAATTAGGAAGTGGTGTCCAATATTTCGTCACCAAGGCTGTTTTGCGGCAACATTGCAGATTGCACCTCCGGTGAATGCTGAAAGAGACATAGTTTTGCTTGTCTTATTGCTGAACCCGAATTTGGCCATTGTCGAAGAGCATTAGTCATGTGCTGCAACTCATCCACGCTGTGTGCAGACAACGCACAGTCGTCAGCAAGCAGCATCGTTCGAATAGTTGTCTCGCAGACTAGGGTTCTCGCACCGAAATGACGGATGTTCAGCAACCTACCATCAATACGGTGCTCCACACGTACACCGTAAGCACAATCCGCATCAAACTCACACGACATCATGGTATGAAGATAAATATTAAACAGAGCAGGCATAAGAAAAGCATCAGCGGTGCACCGGTACACAGTACCGACGCTTCGCTACCGCACAACCACTACCGGTCCCACGTGAGCTAAAGATACTGCGAGCGTCATCCTGCCCCTACGCAGACTCGAACCCGCGCCGCCAGATTACAAGACAAGCTAGTCAGCTTTAGGCTAAGAGCCGGCAGGAGCTAAGACACAGCCTTGCTTCACACCTCAGACAACTGCAAAGTCATCCGAGGTCTGTCCACTTAGCTGCACACACATATCTACATACACACACAAATCCAGTATGCACTGGTTAACTTGTAACACTTGTGTGTAATTACCGATCATACGCGTTTGTGTTACTACGATCATGCCTTTGTAGGTGTGTCTTGCGATCTCGAAAATAAACCATTTATCCATACATTTCTTTTACTTGTTTATATATATTGCTGTTGATGACGAAATGTGCCCGCCGTTTTCTTTTCTCCTTGGGTTAATCGTTCGGTTTACTGTGGCTTATAGACAGGAATAGCCTCGAAAGTTGTTAATTCCTTTCTTCATTGCTCACCACTTTGTGTAATGGTATATACTGAGTAGCGGGTTCTACGGGTGCCCCTTTTGATATACGCATCCTACACTCACGTCTCTACATGTGCGATCCCCAAACCGAGGCTCAAGGACGCTTTTGTTAACATTTCGTAAAAGTGCTCCATCAGACCATCCCTTTTGAAATCATGGAACTGATTGGTTGGTGGAGACTTTTGATTTCTCTGCTCTAGCTGTCAGCCTGCCTGTAGCCTAAAGGTAACGAGCTTGTGTTGCAATCTGGCGGCGCGAGTCGAGCCTGCGTAGAGGCAGGACCACCTTCGCAGTATCCTTAGCCCACGTGCGACCGGCAGTGGTTGCGCGGCAGCGAAGCATCGGTGCTGCGTACCGGCGTACTGCTGATGTCTTGCCTTTTATCCTAGCCGTCACCGACTCTTTCGATAAGTTTTAGCACATATCTAAATCTGAAACATCCGGAATCTTTTAGTTTCAAAATATTAGCAATGAGAACTGAGAGGTTCACCACTACCATCTGTACCTCGACTAAATCACTATCGCAGATATCAATTTCAGAAAACATTCTCATACTATGCAAACCACTCCTTAATTAATGTCGTTTCTATACCTACTACCTCATCAAAACATGTTATGTTACAAAGGAAAATTTAGTCAAATGTTTTGTTACAACTTAAGCCCCTTAGCCTACTTGTAAATATCGTTGCTTACCTAATTTCCACATTCCAATAGATTATCTGTGCCCTACTTAGATAACAACCCTATAGATTCTATGTTGTGACCCTGTTATCTCAATTCTTACTCGTTTTTAAATTCTCAACTACCGCCCATGTTCGGTGGGCAACTTGTGTTCAGTGTGTCGCTTTCCACTATGTAACACTTTGGATACTAACTTAATAGCGTTTGACATATGCCTTCATGTAGGATTATTTTCACTCCGTCAAACTGCAAGGTTGAGCATTCAACCTTGACTACATCATCTGTTCTTAGAATCCAGATTTTGTGCGCGTTTTAACGCTCCTTCCTCACTAGCATTAGGTGCATTTCGTTTATGCAACCCATGATTTTATACAGGATAGTCGACAGTCACTTCTGAAAAGAAGGCTACAAATGGGAACAAAGATGTCCTGGACAGTGGTTTTGGGTCTGCATACATCTAATTCCTAGTGGTTTTAGTTCTGATAAAGTGGGTTCTACCTTTTTGGATCACTTTTACTGCGGAGATTGTGAGCCCATGAGCTCAGACGAACAGCTTCACTGAAACTCTGTGTCTACTTGATGTTCACCGTTTCTCACTACAAACCTGTACATTAGCATTGGTAATCAACAGCACCATCAACACTGCGTACAAATTTCTTAGGTAACACAAACGCCTCATGGATTACCACCCGTTCACTACTTGACCTGCTATTTTTCGGTTCTAATGTTCTGAATCACCTTACTAGTTAATAACTAATTTGCATATTTTTTCACGAGAGTCTGGTGAGCCGAGTACAGTTCCAACTGACTTCGATTATATAGCCACCTACATTATGGAGCTAGTGTGGGTGTGAATCACCGGAATATCTTCACCCCTCTTCGACCAATATTCACTAGCAGACGTACATCAACTGAGCCAAGCCCTTAAGTGAATCAAAGATGCTCACGTTTGATTCAAATTGTAATGATCCGTCTGGTGATGTCAGTCGAGCTCCCCTGCTCCGGAGGGGAATTATTTTATCTCAGATATACGGGGATCTTTGTTTTTGACAGCCCCGAGGCAGAGCAGTAAACCCTGAATTACCTCAGGAATGGTCCCGCCATTCGGTTTGCATGCAGATGTCGTAGAACCGACAGTTATTTCTTGGCCCCTTGGCGTTTGGTGACAACGAACTGGAATCAGTTTATCAACTTACTTATCTTGCTGGCCGCATTGGCAACGATAGCATTACGCGGATTAATAAGAGTGAAGTTGCTTTTCTAAACCTGTACCATTATTGATGCCAGAAAGAATCTCGCTGGATCTTAAGAGCTGCGTCTACATCACTACAGTGAAATTTTGCCCATTCGGTATGAAGATCTTGGTCTCCCTCAGTTGGTTGTCTGTTGTTGCCAGTGGGACGTCACTCATGCTAGGAGGCACCGAGTCAACACCGATGATGTGTACACACGAGTACTAAGCGGTGATGGTCACTAAACTTCCATGGAACGACGATCAGCATTGAATAAATTGATTGGTTTGGATACCTGCTACATACACGCGCTTACCGAAGCAATCGTTTTGTTTGCCTACTGTTAGATGACGCAAGACTCGCGGGGTGTCAAAATTTGACTTAGCGGCAGAACTAACATCTGGCCACTAGCTCCGACTCGTGCCACACGAAGCTGTCTCGCTGATGCCACCCTATCCTCACACGGTAGTTGTGGCCATGTGATTTTTGTTCAGAACATTTAGACTGTGTATTAACCCCCTACCTCCTATAAACCTTCTCCAGTAATGGCGTCACTACAGCGTCAACGCAAAAGCGATACATGCACTAATGGATACCCCCATATTTCGTTAACAGTTATTATTATTGCTTTTAGCATTTTACATACGAATCGTAGTTAGTCAAGCGAACTGAATCAGATCAGAAAGTGTCGCCTTCTAGGCGGTTTTTCTCGGTGACAGTCACATGATTGAGAATGATATGATTTGGGTTGAGATCGCCCATGGCTGCTACCTGTATGCAGATCGCTCTCTCTTAGTCTCCTTAGTATCGGATACATCCTGCTGGCATCATTCTTCAATTACCCATCCACAGTTGTCCTGAGTTCGTTGTCTGCGCTTCTTAAGCTTGTTGCCTGCCCATTCATTTTGTACCCTGCTGCGCTTGGTTGAGCGAGGCTGCCGGACCACAAGTCCCACATGACGCTCTCAGCGAATTTTTTGTGGCTCATTTTTCATTGTGTACGAAATCACGCACTTAGCTTTCGTTTCCTATTGTGTTTCTGATTCTTTCCTCTCCCAGACTGCTCTCCTGCATTTGGGCATTTCACGTGATTCCCTCTTCTACCATCTCTGTGACAGAGCGCTTATCTCCTTTACTGATTTCGTTTTTCTCCTTTCGGTTCTCTCAAGTGAGTTCACTATGTCCTACCCAGCGAGCGTTCCATACTTTATTTTTATGAGCACGGACGTTCCATATTCATTGTGTCGTTTACCACCTTTTCGTTATTCTTTTTTGTTTTGACCAGCTTAGTTTAGTACATATTATCAACTATACGTGGTAAACTCATCAGGAACTATCATATAAGCCTCTATATGCCTCATCGATCCTCTGCACTCCATTCCTTAGCATGCTCCCATACCATACACACAAATTAGCTACGATCGATTCTTTGGAGCCGCTTCGGTTCATGTCGAACCCACATTTATCTTCAATGACAACAGCTTCATGCAAGTATTGACCGAATGACGTGTCGTAACCCATATCTTATGTTGGGGTGCTGTTAATTTCTTGGCGCCGGTGCGGCAGTTTCCACCCCCCTAAATCAATGAGCTTTAGGGCTACTTCCACCTGTGTGTGTTCTGATCGAAGTCATAGCTGTGGCTTTCGATTACCACTGCTATTTATTACGGTTAGACGGACTTTTTTCGATCCGCATAAGCTCATACTTGACTCTACGTCAATCCTCTAGTCCATTTGGATGACAGATCCTACCTCGTCTGCAATGAGAATAAGATGCCTTTAAGCTTGTGGAGTTCACCTAACTGCATCGTTCAAATAGTTTTCATGTCACTCCGGTCCCCTGTGTTGTCTCTGGTGATCATATCACTGGGGAGATTACTTCGCATATCAGCAAAGTCCGTGCGGATTCCCAGAAGCTTAACCATCTATGAAGACAGTGGCATATTAACCCGTCAGTGAAAGCGAGGATGTATAACGATGCTATAAGGCCGGTGTTACTGTATAGATCAAAGACCTGACCGGTTCGCAGTGAAGACGTTAAACGCTTGGTCGTGTTTTATTACTGCTTTTTACTGATTACTGCTCACGTCTAGTGGGAACACCGGGTGTGCAGTGCTGAGCTCTAGCAGTTGGTTTTGACGAGATGCCTTCTGGTGCCTCTCTCGAGTGTTTGCTATGACAACCGCCTACTTTGGGTAAGTCATACCCTACTTTTGACTGTACTTCTCGTGTGCACTATATGCTGTCACTGCACGAAGTTTGGTAAAAGCGCGAGGTAGCCATTCGATCACGTGGCCTAAATGCACGAAGCAAATGACTGCGGGACTTGGTAGGGCTGGTGCATGCTGTCTTCGTGGATGGGGGACACCGAGATAGTCCACACCAATGATTGTATACTCTATCAGACATGGCGCAGTAGAGCAGTCAGTTGCATTCCTGTATTCGGTCTTTTGCACTTAGCCGTTAACTTTTCGATTAGTTTCGCACTTTCCTTTCCTTGTATTCTGTTTGCACTCAATTCATCGAGGAAATCTCATTTCGACAATTCGCATTAGGCTTCTACATATATGAAACTGGTTAAGGCATTGCAATAGGCTAAAACTTGGCTGGTGTTGGACAAGTCTAGACAGGCTGTATTGTCCGTCGCTCGATGATGATAGTTTCACACAGACGCATACACATAATGCACGACTATGCCTTTTCCGAGTCAACTGAATCCATAACGGAATCAAGCTCCTCCTTAAGCAAAGCAAGTTCCTCCATAAGAATATTCAACTCAATCCACAAGCAAATCAAGTTGAATCTAAAGTGGTGCACACGCACAAATGCGTGCCCATCGTCTTGCCCAATTGCAAATCACTGCACGAGTGCTCAGAACACCTGCATCGGTTGGTGCAGCGGTTAGACTTTGCGCTCGGCCAACAAACCACGTGATGCACACGCGGGCGTCAAAACAACACTTGGGCTCAGTCACTGTAGGGTGCGGTGCGGGCTAGCACCCGGTATCCACGGATGGTCCATCGCAATGAGGCTGGACCTTACCGTGGTGCGATGGTTTGCGTGCCTCAGAGATCCATTTAGCTATGCTGGGTGGTGCTTTTTTTGCACCTTCAGAGCCACTCATACCAGATTGGTCAATGATTAGAGGCCAGACAAACTCAGCCTCCTGGTCCAGGTTGGGGGTTGGAATGGGGGTGGCTCCTCATTTCGTAAAACGGGCTCCGTAGTCCAGTGTCAAAAGCCGCTGCCTTGCGGCAAGGTTTTTGAACCCAAGGCTTTGGTTGAGAACCCTAATCGTTCTCCTGTCTAGGCCTGGGCAACCTGACAGTATTCTGCCCACGCAATACAATGAAACTTTCCCACAGCAATTTCTTGATGCTTTGGCCGTCGCAGAGGATAATCAACGGCGCCCTATCTGCTGCATCGAGCAGGGTGGATAGGGGTATGGATGCTACTGCTCAGGCCTTCCCGTCTTCTCATACCTTTTCTTACGCTTCTTCATCCTTATCGTCCCGCTCCAACTTTACTTTTATCCCCCCCATTTTCAATCCCCCAATTCTTGGCCCTCCCCCAGCTTACTTCAGTAGTTGCTTGTCTTCTAATTTCAAATCACACACAATCCCAGGGCCTCGCTCCAATCCAGTTGACAAGTCCATGTTCAACCAAGCGGACAACGTCAGTTCATCCGTTTCCCTTTGGAGTCCTCGCGTCTCGCTAAGACTGGCATGCCTCAACGTGCGCACTTTGCTGCAGATTGGCCAACAGACAGCACTTACCCGCACACTAGAGACCCTATCGATCGATATTTGCTGTTTATCAGAAACCCGCCTGCAAGGTTCGAGCTCCGTGCTTACCCTGAGATCCCCAACATGCGACACTGGCGGCACATTCTCATTGCGCCTGTCTGGTGATGATGCAGCTTCAAATGCCGGTCAAGCTGGCGTCGGCATTGTTTTGAGTCCCCGGGCTGAAGCTGCCCTGATTGATTGGATCCCAGTAAACAGTAGGATGTGCGCCGTTAGATTAGCTGGTTCGTTCCGTGCTACGAAGTCGCGCGCGGACAAACGGTGCCTGCTTGTCATTGCGGCCTACGCCCCTACAAACTGTAGCACTGATTCGGTAAAAGATGATTTCTATCAGCAACTTCACGAGCTCCTTCGTTATGGAAGAAGCACGGATACTGTGGTGTTGGCTGGCGATTTAAACGCCCAAGTCGGAAAATTGTCCTCTGATGAGCTTCATCTGGGGTGGCCAACATGGTGTAGGCTCGCGTAATGATAATGGTGAGCGATTGCTATATCTGTGTGAAGATGCTCGCCTCTTTCTCGCGAGCACTAACTTTCGACACAGCACCCGCAAAAGCGTGACTTGGCGGTCACCAGCGTCGGGCCAGCCATGGACGCAAATCGATCGTATCGCGATCAGTTACCGCTGGAGAGGCTGTGTTTAAAATTGTCGCTCGATTTGGAGCACGAGCGTGGACTCTGACCACGCACTTGTCTGTGCCGACCTCCTGGTGCGTCTCGGTGGACGTCCGAAACGTCGATGTGAACGGATTGACACCAGCTAGCTGGCGAAGCCAGATGTTCTGAATGTATACCATAGTGCGCTGACATCTGGGCTGAGTAAGCGCCCACTAAACACCGTTGAAGATCACTGGTCGCATATTCGTCAAACGTTACTGTTAGCAGGCATGTCTTCATGTGGCAAAGCAAATTGCCAAACCGGACATTGGGTCTCTACACAGTCTATGGAACTTATGGATGCTCGCCGACGTATTCCGGCTGGAAGCGAATACAATGAGGCTCGCAAAAATCTCAGGGCAAAACTACGTGCTAGCCTTAGGAAGGACCGCGAAACCTGGTGGTCTCATCGTGCCTCTGAGATGGAAACAGCCGCTGCCGTTGGTAATCATTGTAAGTTATTCCGTCTGATACGGGAAACAGGCAGCAGGAGACCTGGTGTTAGCGAGACCATACGCGACGAGAGTGGGCAGCTGATCCACAGCTTGTCAAAACGCTTGGAGCGTTGGGCTGAACACTTTGCAAGGCAATTTAACAAACCTTTCTTCTTCGAGCATTGAGCGCCCTTCTCCTTGGGCCGTCTCCTCGGATCCGCCCTCACGCGCAGAGGCCGAACGTGAGATCAGGCTGTTGAAATTGCATAAGGCCGCAGGGGCAGAGACAATTCCCCCAGCCCTCTTCAAATTCGGGGGACCTGCTCTAGTAGATGATCTACACGAGTTGCTAGTAAAACTTTGGGAGCAGGAGACAGTCCCGACAGACTGGAACCGCTCCGTCATTGTCCCAATTTTCAAGGGAAATCCCGTTTGGAATGCGGGAATCATAGAGGGATCAGTCTGATTTCGATTGCCTCTAAATTGCTTGCTTCTGTCATTCTCCACAGACTGACTGACACTCGTGAAAGCCAGATTCGTGAAGAGCAAGCCGGATTTCGTCGAGGTCGGGGCTGCATCGACCACATCTTCACATTGCGTCAAGTGTTGGAGCACCGCCATGTTTATTGGCGACCCACCGTTGTCGTGTTTCTTGACATAAAAGGTGCCTTCGACTCAGTCGATCGATGTGCCCTTTGGGACTGTCTGTTGAGGAAAGGTGTGCCTGATAAATATGTAAACATTATTAAAGCGCTGTACGCGCATAGTTCGGGCAGGGTGAGGATTTATGGCAAACTCTCGCCACCCTTCAGTATCACCAGCGGTGTGAGACAAGGTTGTCCGCTGTCACCTTTCCTCTTCAACTTCGCTATTGATGAAGTCATAGAAACAGCGTTCGCTGGACACGACCTAGAAGGTGTGGAGCTACTTCCTGGTGAGCGACTTCTTGACTTGGAGTATGCGGACGATATTGCACTAATCTGTGACAGCCCCCAAACATGCCAAGGAGCACTGGACCGCTTAGCACTGGCTGTCAATCGTTTTGGGCTATGCTTTGCTCCATCGAAATGCAAAGTACTTCTCCAAGATTGGCAGGGACCCAACCCTGCGCTAACGCTTGGTGGTGAGCTGCTAGAAGTCGTTCAGGAATTCAAGTACCTGGGTAGCTATATTAGCACCCGTGGGATTGAAGATGAGGTTACGAACTGTATAACAAAAGCTCGAGGTGCTTTTGCCAATCTCCGCCACCTGTGGCGCAGATGCGACATTAC